AATGTCATACAACCAACACACACAAGTCAACATATTGACTGATATTTAAATCCCTTGTCTTAGTAAGGACATAATGCTGGAGTTTAAATCAAACAATATATCTGTTTTGAAGACAATTTGGTAGATGTAATAAATGTATTATATTATTCCATGCTCAAAAGTTTAAGTGAAGCTAACACCAATATCTGCAGGACAATGGAATGGATAATAATCAATACTGGCTAACATAATCTTGTGGATATTGATTCTGTTGCCAAAATTAGCCATTGTAATGGGAAAAGGGAAAAATGCAATGGACAAGACAGGGATTCAAACCTGTACCCCCTGAATCTCCAGTCAGGTGCTACTGTGGTTTCATCAATATTCATTGAGCACCAATTTCCGAGGATTTCGTTGTTGAGCAAATCCAAATGTTCATTGAATTAAGAAATATGAGATTCATTTGTATAGGCAATGCTTTTGTCCAGCAAATTACATCTCTTTTAAAAAATCCACGAAAATGAATGCCAACGAAAATTGATGAAACCACAGTATACCAACTGAGCTATCTGGTCACTGGTGAATGAACCCTTCTGACTCTTTGGACAGCTACACTAACATCTCACTTTACAACATTTTCAGCCACATCACTAACATACCGTATATACTCGCCTATAAGTCGGTTATATTTTAGAAGTTCATTTTAGAAAAATTGACCTTCTATAATACCAGTCTTTTTATATCTCGCCTGTAAGTCGGACATAGTGTTTTGGACCAAAGTTTAACTCCCAAAAAAACCGACTTATAGGCGAGTATATACGGTACCTCCTATTCCTGGTTCTCTGTCGTCTTAAGGCTGCCTTCTTCTCCATTACTTTCTGTTTAGTTAACTCCTCCTTCAGCTCGGCCTTTGTCTTCCGTTTCTTTTTCTCGGGAGAGTCCGGGACTTTCTTCACTGGAGATTTTGTTTTGTCCTTAGTTGGCGATTCATCCTGGTTTTTATCGGTATCTTCAGACTCTCCTAATCATAGAATTACAATAAAAGGATATCATTTACTATTACTGGTAATTAGTACACATATTTTTGAAATACGTTATCTATAAGCCAACTATGAAATCTATAATCCGGTGAGGGGTACCAATTTTTTTAAAATCAATTGAGAAAATAAAACAAAAGAAAATGTCTTGCCGGTATATAAACCTTGCATATGCAGAAAAGGAGAGTAAGTAAGTATACATGTTATAATGCCTTTAAGCATGCTCTCAGTGCTGCGGTCTTTAAAAAACTCTTACCCTCTTTCTTGACTGGTGAGGACTTCTCCTTCTGTTTCTTCCTCTCCTCTCGTAGTCTCGCCTTCTCTTCTTCTCTCTCTTTCCTCTTGGCCTCCAGCTCAGCTCTCCTCTGCAGTCTCTTGGTGTATCTTTCTTCTTTCTCCTTTGCCTATTTGATA